ATATGGTTCAGGCACGTTTAGAGGAGAAGCCTAGATGCCCCGGTGAGCAGGTGTGAGCTGCTGGTTTTGGTGGGTACGAGGAGAGGTAGAGGGCGGCCTAAGAAGTATTGGAGAGAGGTGAACAAGCAGGACATGGCATGACTTCAGATTACCGAGGACATGGCCCTAGACGGAAAGTTGTGGAGGTCGAGCATTAAGGTTGTAGATTAGGCGGTAGTTGTGTATATTTCTACGATGCACCAGGGTGAGTCTGTTAGGACTTATTCTTAGACTGTTAGTGGTTAAAGTTGAGTTCACACTACTCTTTCATTTCTCTTAGTGCCGGACTTTATCTACTGGTTATTGTTTGCTTTTCATCTATTTTCTGGTTCTGGTGATGCCGTTTTTTTTTTCCTATGATTTTTATTGATGGTATTAATATATTGCCTCTTTTCTTCTTCTTTTCGTTTTCTTGAGTCGAGAGTCTATCAAAAATAACCTCTCTACACCTTCGGGGTAAGGGTAAGGTTTGCGTACACACTGCCCTCTCCAAACTCCACTAGTTGAATTTCATTGGGTTGTTGTTTTTGTTTACCCTTAGTAATAATAGAATAAATATTGATGAAGCTAGATTATATTCTAAGATATAAATAAGAGTAAAATAGTCAAAATCCATTTTAATTAATACTTCTTTTTTTAAGGGTTGTGTAAAGAAAAACACGATAGATAATTTGAGCGGGAGAGTAAAAATTAATGGACGAGCTAAAGTTTGAACTTCGGTCGAACTAATGACTTCAACCCCAACTTTGTATTTAGTTTAAAATTTTTACTTAACATGTGTAAATTATTAAATCAGAACCAACTATTACTGTCAGTTTATTTTAATCATTGTTCAGCTTCAATCATAATTACAAGTCCCAACTTGATAGGTCCAAAGACAGCTAAGATTTATTTAGGAGTGTTTTTATTTTATGAAATAAAAGAGAGAGCCCCACGTACGTGTTGCCATTTGAACTTCCCTCGTCCCCTCCACCCTACCTTTACCATCACATCATTCTCCCTCTTAGGAGCTTCTACTACAACTGTAGTTATTCTTTCTTTTTATTTCTTTTTTTTTTTCTCTTCATTTTTCTTCTCCAACGTTATTTGGCACCTACCACTAATGGGAAGAATTCAAACTATTATTTTCTCCGTTTAATTTTATACGATAAAAAAGTTAAACTATATGAAATTTGACTAATATTTTAAAATATATTTTTTATTAATATGAGAGAAATTGTAACTTATAGTGCTTTTCGTATAATTTTTAAATATCTAAATATAAATTTAAAATAATGAATTAAACTAATCTAAAATGTATCATCTAAATTGACTCTCGATAAACAAAATATATCATCTAAATTTAACAGAGGGAGTACTTAACAGGATCTGTTAAATACATATAGATGTAACTTTATGGATGAATATGATCACTAAATTTTGTTTATACTAAAATCAAGCTAAACTATTTTTTCTACTATCAAATCTACTATTTCTTCTTACCCAATTTATGTCCCAATATATATGTCATACTTTCTTTCTTAATCTGCAATAAAAAGATTTAGAATTTCATTCTTTTTTATTTAAAAGTAATTTTACTTTAAACTTTTTATTTTATCCTTAATGAGTTGATTTATACTCACATAAAATATTTATAGCCTGTTCAAAATCATAAATTTTAAAAAAAAAATTTCTTTCTTAGACTTTATGCCTGGTCTAGATAAATTGAGATGGACAGAATATAAAGAAAGTTGCTAAACTATTTTTTTGTAACCAATTAATCATTGGACAAGCCGAAGAAAATATCTTATTTATTTTTCATCACGGGCAAATGAGTGAAGGTATATTTGTTCCCTTTCTATATTCCTCTCTGTTCAAAATCTTAGGAGGAAATTTCCTTATCAAAGATCGTTGTGGAGTCTAGTTAGTTATTGTACTTATGTAAATTGTACCTGAGTTTGACATATTATATAATTATCTGACACCAATAGTCACAAGTTCAATATTGATTCCAAACAAAAGTTGTATACATTTACTTGCAAGAAACCGCACTAAAAAGGTGGCTGCCTCAATTGTCGAGGAGTGGAGTCAGCTTGAACTGTCACTAAATTGAAATAGTCACGGGAATTTTATACTACTGCTTACTTCACAGTTAACACGTAAACGTAATAATGCATTTTGCTTTTCGTAATTTTACTGTAATTCTGGACCTACGAACTTTACCTGCAGATGGAAATAAATGACAATACAATTGAAACATATTGTACTCCTACTCAATGAATAATTGTATACGATTTAATCATTTAATGTACGTAGATTGATAATTGACAAGCACTAGATTATAATACAAACATAAGGAAAATATGCCTGTCGATAATTTTTCTGATATATTCTTAATTTTACAATAAAATTCTGCTTTTGTTACGATAGTTTTATCCCTACGAACTTTTGCAGAATTATTCCCAGAGTTAGTTGAATGCTAGCTTAGGTGAGTTTCCAGCCTTCCGCGGTTGAGGTGAAAGATTTAAATCCTACTAGTACTAGTAATGTAACATTCTCTTTTTCTTTCTCCCCTTCCCCACCCCTGGTGTAATAAAGAAATAAATACTATTATTCGCATTTCTTTTAATTTCCTTTTGTTCAAGTTGTGCTGACTTTGTGCAATAAAAGCTGGCATACTCGAGTACAAGGGTAATTCTCTTTTGTGCTACATTGAATTCACTATTTGCGACATTCACAAGTTCAAATTATTCAACATGTTGTGAGTTGTGACACTTCCAAAGACAAAGTTGTATATATGCATTTTATTTGCCTATTAGGGGCTTTCTGAGAGAAAGAGCACCTTTCCATTAAGAAATTCATATGTCTAAACCAGTTGGTGAAAGATATGCCCACCACACCAACGTCCCCTATATATGGTACAGCTTAGCACTTTAGTTAAACATGACAAAAAGTAAGTTTAATTTTACCTATCCAAATTCACCAAAAAGAACTATAATAAATATCTATGCTAAAGACAGTTTGGGGACTTTGGTTCCTTTCACTTTTCAATTCGTCAGTCACTAATTTATTAGTTGAGATTATCATTTTTTCACATTTTGACTAGAGAAAAGCAAAACACTTTTTTCGAACACAAAAGACAATCTGAGCATAGGATTTTCTAAACTTCTAATCCAACTATTAAAAGAAACATTTTCTCCAAAATATAACTAAACTGCTCAGTTCTAGAGAATATTGTGAAGTCTAAACGAAAACCAAATTAAATGCCACAGATTTATGGGAATATAAACTTTACTAAAACTGCGAGTAAAGAAAACTTTTTAGTTTTGCTTCCATGTCGGAGTCATACTCCTTGTTACAATATGGTGCCAGAGATCATAAAGCTTTAGGTAATCAATTATTGGGAACTGTTAAGGTCCAACGTCATGAAATCTTTCTCTTACTTGTTTCATTAATTTTGTCAAATTAATGTAAGACCTCGTAAGTAGAGTATATGGGTAAATTGCGTGTTGGCAAAGCCAAACCTCACTTCATACGCCCTGTTCTCACGTACTTCATACGCATCACAAACATGTAACCCCTACAAAAAACTTAGGCCAAATAGGAAAGAGTTGTCAAAAGTACAAAAATCGTGGTAACGAATAAATGGGAGTTTTCCATAACTAATACTCCTAGCAAGCCTGAGAGATCAGTTAATTTTGAAAAGTGTGTTTTTTAAAAATATTTTGAAAAAAAGTACTTTTAGAGAGAAACAATTTATGTTTGACTAATTACTCTGAAAAATACTTTTGAGCAATAATTTGTATTTGATCAAATTTTTCAGAAAATACTTTTAAGTATCAAATTACGAATAAGGATATAAATAGATTTACTTAATAGGAGTAGTTAATATTATAAGTAAATAAATAATCTTAAAAAAATATTATTACGGCAATAATTAAATTTTTTTATTTTATTTAAGTAAAATATAAAAATAAAATTTAAAAGTACTTAATTTTTTTAATATAAGTTAAATATATTAAAAATCATTCAACAAATATAAAAGCATTCACCTTTAAAGTCACTATATATTAGAAAACTATCCTAAAAATAATAAGAAATATTTATACATTAATACCCTAAGTATTATATTTAACGGTTATTTTGGTATATACTATATTTTGTTCAAATTAGAAAAAAAGTACTTTTAAGAAAAAAAAATAAAAAAATTTAAGCTCTTGAGAAGCTTGGCCAAACAGGTTATAAGCGTTCGCACAGGAGATTTGCATTGAGCCCATTCTTAAGCCGGAGAGGAGTTGGAGACATTCCGCACTATATTATCCCTTCTTCCTAACTATATTTGACACCCATTTCACTCATAATTTTAAAAAATCCATAATGTTAAACTGATTATGAGATTTATGTGACTATAGAAATTTGTAATTAAGAGCAAAAATAAAAATTTAGATTATTTTAAAATATAAAAAGTTAAACAAACTAAAACAAAATCATTGAGTATATATTATGCTAGCGTTTGAAAATAAATTTGATTGAAACTTGAATAAAGTGTTTTTGAAGTTGTGTTGAAAAAATAATTTTTGAAATTTAAAGTTATGTTTGTGCATGCATTTTATTTGATAAAATTGAAGTTTTGCGAATACAACAAAAATCAGTTTTGGGGAATTTGAAAATTTTTAAAGTATTTTTTCTCAAAACATGATCATAATTCATAAATAAATAATATTTTAATTTTAAAAAAAAAATGAAACCAAAATCTACGGACGGCGTGGTACGAGAGTCACAAAAATGTTGAGAAAGAGGTGTGGCTGTTCCGAAAAATATCTGGGGGTTATTACTGCTAAGAAAACCTAAGCCAATTATTAGCGATGGCTAGTCTTGTGCACATCCCCATGCCGTAAGTTAAAGGAAAAGTCCCTGACCCCACTTACTTTAATTGGTCAGTCAGTGGAAGTCTGTAAGAAAGTGACTTTCTTAGAGAAAAAAAAAACAAAAGAAAGAGAAAACACATTAGTGTGTAATTTGTTCGCTCCTCTCATTTCTCTCGTAGCAAATCTGCTGTAAACTCCTAAAAGAGTTGCCATGTATATGATGAGGTAGTAAACAGTAAATCCTCAGTTTCTCTTTCCCAGAACTGAAAAAGGTATATCAGATATATATCTATAATAATAATAGCCTTTCATTTCATCCCATCTCTTCACTGTTCCTGACTTCTCTTTATCTCTCTCTCTGTCTACTCAGTTTTTGTTTAATATATCAAGAAAATACAGTGCTTCTCTTTTTTGTAGTTGCAGTGAGATATGGCTGAGGGATTTGAAGCATATCATGTCCCACAACAAAGCAGAAGAGATAGGCTTAGAGTTTTTGTACAAAACCACCCTTCTGATTCTGCTGCTGGTTTACTTCCTTTTGTTGACCATCACTCACTTATCCCTTCAGATTTCCTTCTTGTTTCTGATGCTAAAGAAAAGGGTGTTAATTTCATGGATCCACAATTATCATCTGGTGTTTCTTTTCAAGAAATTAATGGCAACCCTTTTCTCTACAGTCATCAAAACTTTAGGTTTCTTGATCAATCTTTCAATGGTGGTGATGTTGATGTGGTATATAAACAAGAACCATTATCTTCACTAGCTGCTGTTCCTGCGACTAATATTAGTAACAATAATATTACAACAGGTCAAGGTTTGTCTTTGTCTTTGTCATCATCTCATCATTACAACAACCAAAGTAGTAGTAGTAGTAATCTTCCTCTAGAGCTTAACCTACAAAGATATGACTCTTCAATATTTACCAACGACATGTTATCAAAGAGTAATGCTACTGTTCCTCTTGGACCATTCACTGGCTATGCTTCAATTCTAAAGGGATCAAGATTCTTAAAACCTGCACAACGATTATTGGAAGAGATTTGTGATGTTGGTAGGGGTATTTATGCTGAAAAATTAGCTGCTAATGATAATTATGCAGTGATGGATCCTTCACTGGAAGCACCTTTAAGTGATGATCCCCAATATTCATGTGGTGATGGAAGTCATGAGCTCAGGAGGAACAAGTCCAAGTTAATTTCAATGCTTAATGAGGTACCATTTATTTTTTTGAGATTTAAGATTGGATGTTTTTGCTAAGTATCATTGAATTATACTTTACTTTGAATGTTCATGCGAGCTTTATTGAGCTGAGTTTCTCCTAGAAATAGCCTCTCTATCTTTACAACCTTCACAAGGCATGGGTAAGGTCTGCGTATATACTATCCTCTCCGGATTCACTTGTTGGGATATATTAGGTATGTTGTTTGTTGTTGTTTCAATGTTCATGGGCGGAGCTAGATTATTTGGTACGGGTTGGGACTTGGGACGAACTTAATAATTTATAATCAGATACTATATTTATTTGAGGAAATTCATTATATGTATAAATATTTAATTGTTAACTCATTAACTAAGATGAACTATTTGTTTGACAGCAAGTTGAGAACCATCAGCTTCAAATCCTAGCTTTGCTCTGTCAATATTTCCTGGGATTTTGTTTTTCCTCGGATACAATTTGTTGTTAGCAAATTGTCTAATTTATATTTATCTTTAGCTATAGATGACGTGACAGTATATAGAGATTAACTCTTACCATTATATCTTAGGTTTTTGCTCACCGCATGGTTTGCAGGCTTGGTTTAATTTCTTCAGATATTGTTTCAATTTCTTTCCTATGGTACTGCCTTGTTGTCTCTCTATGAAAACTCTCAAAGTAATTTCTTGCACGGTAGTTTCTATGTAACTAAAAGTAGATTCATTCTATAAGGCTTAGAGTTATCGTTCAATGTCTGTCCAACATGCAGTAACCAATTTGTAATGAATCTATATATATATA